AAGAAGTCAAGCATGACAGAGGGGCACAAACGCATAAGCAAGTGCGCCCAAGCGGCAAACGAAAGAAAAATACAGTAGGATAAGCAGTAGAAGAGACGGAGATAGACAATCCGGATGGAGGTGGCACATGACTGAAATGTAACCAACGATACGGGGCTGAGGTGCTAACCCGAAGGGCCAAGGGGGGCTGGCGTATGGAAAGAACATATGACGGCAAAAACTGCTACGAGTGAGACGACGCTGAGAGGATGAACGGCAGGGACGGACAGGTGAGCATACGATCGAAGAAAAGGCGAATAACACAGAAACGGTAAATGCGTGGGGTGCAAGGAACAGGTGAGTAAGCAGAGGCCAGTCAGGAAGATATACGACCTACATAAAATATGGTTGGTGGCATAAGGGAGGAGATACCTATAGGGGGACGGCGAGGAACTGAGTTAAGAACAGTGCTTCAAAAGCTGTGGCGGCAGAAGCAGAGAGCAACGGATGGGAGTTAGTACGAAGCGGCATGAGCGTTAGAGGGTTAGTAGTTCCAGGTGAGCGAGGCTTAGTTGCGTGCAGCGAAGCACCCGGCCATCCAAAATTGTATTAATTAGCCGGACTTGCTAGGTGAGAAGTCGATCTGAAGTCTGAAACTACGACAAGGGAATGCAGCCCGTCCACTCCTTGTCGAAATATATGCTAGTGCCCTTTGCGAATGGCAGGCAGGAAATGGCACTCGGCAAACCTATGGGCGTAAAATGTCAGCTCTCAGAAGTCTGGATGCATGCTCCGAGGGGTGCATCCGCTTCTCTGCACCAAAGAAAGACCCCATATTTCGAGCTTTAAGATGCCTGGCATGAATTAGGACGCTACAGAACCCAGATTTCAAGCAGATCCACCTAGGAATCAAACAGAGCGTTCGGGGGAACGCTCTGGCCCGCCAAAAGCTTGCATAGCTGTAGCGGGGCCGAAAGAAGTAACAGCCGCACATATAGATCTGCCTCGAGCAAACTCGGAGCTCATTAAAATTTGTATTAATGATCAGGAGTTGGTAGTGCTACTTCCTAGAGAGTGCGTAGCGGATCTGATCTCTGAATCTACGGCGGGTTAGTGCAACGTACGAGTCTTTTCGTTGGCAACTACGTTTCGTTAATAACAGGCAAGAAACGAGAGTCGGCCAAACGACGGGCGTGCAATACGAGATTATCACAGAAATGGGTATGCTGCTTTTATGTTGGACCAGCTCAACATGCGATAATCCCCGGCATGCCGTGCGCTATAGCGCGTGCAGGTCGCAGGCCAGATCAATTAGGTCTATGCTCCAGGAAACACCGAGGAAGTGCACGTTTAAGAGCGCTCAACACAATTTGAACACTCGAGAGTAAGGAAAGTGAAAGCAGCATCCCGAAAAGAAAGGGTTGAGGAAGCTCTTGCAGTGATGGTGCGGGTAACGACGGAGAAATACGTACGTTCCCCCGCGATGTTCTCAGGAAAACCGCCGCTTGAATGGGTCGATCAATTTAACACCCGTATATCAACAGAGGTGGACACAACTGAAGGAAGAATTCCTTCACAGTAGCAAGAGCTACCAGCGGAAAGGCCATCTACTAGACAGCCAATGTAACGCAATGAACGCTCCTCCCGAGCAGGTTAAAGCACTGTTCCTAGGTTAAGACGAGCCTAACACCCTGAGCCACTAAGAAAAAACACAGTTCAATTTTCAGCTGGCGCGTTCGTACACAATACAATGCTGGTGAAGAAAAAGGACTGGCTGCCAGTCGCAGTTCCTTGTGGCCAATCAATGAGGGATGCATTGCTATATATATATATATGCAAAGACCACCAAAGGCAGCAATAGCAACAGAATCAGCAGCACCCGTCCTACGTGGAGCAGGAGCAGCAGCCAGAAGGCAACGGCAGCAGCGGGTTTTGAAGGCGCTAGCATCGAGCTATAGTGTCTTCACAACCGGGCCATGCGGCCATGCTTTCTTTGCTTATTCTTAGGGTTATTTTCATTTTGTGCACATAAGTGGCCCTCCCGTTGCTTCCTCTGTTGCTGGGCTACCAGCAACAAGAAGGGGAAGCAAAACGGTAAGCAGCAGCAGCTCAGGAAGAAGAGCAGCAAGCTGAGGAAGCAAACGAGCTGAGGAGCAGGAGCAGAACGAGAAGGCATAGCAGCCAGTTGAGGAGTAGCACGTTGAGGAATCAGTAGTCGAAAAGAAGAAAAGAACAAAAGTGAATAGTCGTGGGCATAGCGTTGCCTTAATTGGCTTCGGCCGTTCCCTGCTCTTGTTAAGGCGCTACAGCCGGAGATGCTGCAGAAAGTGAAGCAGGAGCCCACCTCTCGGTCTATTCACTTTTTGCTATGCGGCCAGGGACAGGTGGACGTGGGCTGCTGCGCGGAAAAATGAAGGGGTGGCAGATTCAGTGTGGGCTGCCTGAAGTTGGAAGATGCATTTCTTCTTGCGTGCAGGCTGCCTCCTAAGAGCCAAGTGAGTGAATAGCAGTTCTTCAGGGCGTTCGTGCATGCAGCAATGGTGACGCAAAGGAGTGATTCGTTGTGCTTGCATGCGGTGCTTGCATGTGGTGTTGCCTTACGGCAACAGTTACAGCAAGGCACGTTGCAAGCTGCGTTGCAACTCATGACAGGCTGTCTGCTCTCCGCACCAGCCCCAGGTCCTTGTGGCGCTAGTATCAGGACGCTAGAAGACTAGTGACTGGTTTGGGGGGATACGTTTATCACCAGGCTTTTGACTCTAGTGCAGGTCAAGACTCTCCCCTGCTAAGATTGAGGACTCCAAATCCGAAACTCTAGAAGTGCAGCACACTGGGCGGATGCTGTAGGCACAGCATCGAGAACTCGCATGCTTACGTCTCAGTTTCCTCTCCAGGAAGGGGGGGTAACCTGTACCCTATAACTAGCTTTGGGGCAGGTCACTTGTGGTGGACATGCAGGTGCAGCTGTCACCTCTTTCAGTCCCATCTCTAGGCGCCGCACTGCATTGCGTGGGGGCCAACGCGTTTGCCTGATCGCTTTGTTTGTCTCCCTGGGGGTGATGCTCAATGCATTGCTTCTCCAGTTCCTTAGTTCTTTGTACGCGCCTGCCGTCTCGAATTATGTTACCTTGTTTCGACAAGGTCACATAAATCGAGACTGCAGCAAACAGCTGCGCCGCTCGAAAGGTTCTCTGGAATTTTCGTGCGGTGAGCTCGCTGGCAAACGTTTGTTCTCAACTTTTTCTTTCCCTGGGTGGGTCTGCATTTACAGCCCCTGTTTCCAATAACTCTATACCTGGGCCCGTTGCAAACGCGTTTTCGTCCTTCTCATCAAGTGTGGTGGACGGTGAAAGTTACATACTTTTAGTGAGTATGTAGACCATCAATGCGGTAATTCCATTGTTCTACCCTTCAGTTCCGTTGCCGAGGACGGACAAATTACCATTTGCCGCTTTGTTGGGGACATTCCCACTATGAACTACCAAGAATGCTGTTCCGAGTGCACCGCGGGAGTTCTGTTCACCTAGAACGGATAGTTTTCCATGTAGAGACTTACCGATAACTTTTCTTTCTTGCTTCTTTCCCTGTTGTGCTTGTGCCTTAGCCTATTCCCTTGCCCACCTGGGAATAAACCAACAAGTTACTGCGTTCCATAGCCCGGATGTGCTGCAGTAAAGAAGTACGTTTGCTTAGGTGTAATTACCATTGTGCCTCCCCCTTCTAATTATTAAGATGCCCTTAGCAACTGCAGCTTGTCGACTGCCTTTTGGAGATGGAAGTGCAAATCGGTAAAAGCAATGCACTCCTCCAGTGATTCCCTATTACGCCACACTTTATGTTTGTTACAGTGGCGGAGGCATCCGTCCTGGATTCCTTCTTTTGTAATAACACTTCCCGCTGGGTGGGATGCAGATACTGAGCTCATGTAAACGCGACGAGCCATTTAGTTGTTGATTGTGTGCACATTGGAGGTAGATTCCTAGCAATGATGCAAGAGGCGATTAGGGTAGGGGGGGGGGCGGGAAATAATTTTTTTTACATCTTCGAAGCACCGCCGCCGGCGGTACTTCGAAAATGTACAGTGGAAGGGGGGGAGAGGGTTCGTATTTTAGCACCTCTCCCGAAGAACCATGTGCTGCCCAGAGTAACTTAAGCAGTAACAAAAGCCCACGATCTTACCCGACGACGTACCCGACGACGACAGTACATGACCTCCTGTTCCACCTCCAGGCCTCCTAGTCTCATTTGGGTAAGGACGTACGACTAATACGGAACGGAACCTGCTCGCCACGTGATAGTTGCCGCGCTGGCAGCATCGGTCGCAGTAAGCGACCGATACTGCCAGCTAACCCGGGATGCAAGCACAGCCGAGCCCTAATTTGCTGCGTGCACTAATACTGTAGGCAGCCGCAAATCACTCACTTACTAGGCAGCCTGTACGCGACTAGGAATGCAACTGCCAACCTCAAACAATGATGCGGCAAGTGTCGCCCTCACGGGATGGGTCATGCTGTGCATGCTACAGATGATCCCTGCCCCGACCACCGGACGCACAAGAATATTGCATTCTCGTGAAGACTGGCCCTAGAAATGCAGGGTCCATGAAAACTAACCAGTCTGAAATATTACGAAGCCACCAGGAGGACAACCGTAGCGCCTCACAGACACAGCAGCAGCGGCTGCTGGTGATGGTGCAAATGCTGTGCTTTTCCAGCACAAGCAATAGAAACGCCAACGCGACACATACATATATCCACCGAAAGTAACGATATGAGCAGCTTAAAGCTGCAGCAATTCGCCCATGGGCCCCGTCGAGGAGGGCGGTGGGGCCCCGTGTATTTTAGTACCCCACGGCAAAGCCGCAGCGCTTCCCGGTGAAGTCGTTCCAGTTTCTGTTCGTTTCTCCATTTTTATCAACTCAGCAGCTGCAATAAAAGCCTATGATGCCTGCGTCTACAGCGGGAGACACCGTTTCTGCCGCTGCTGCTTCGGCAGTTGCCGGCAGCGCTAGTGCCAGTGCCATGAGCAACAGCAGCAGCAACTGCCTTGTGTCTCTGACGTTGTTTTACAGTTGCTTTGTCTGTCTGGCTGTCGTCATGGTGACCCCGTGGCTGTACCCTCTCCCCGTCCTACTGCAGATGGGGCTTTATACTGCCCCCATACTTTACGTCGGCAGTCATTTGTCCCTCAAACAAAACGAAGTGGATGCAACTACGGGAGAGAAACTTAATAAGGGGGAGGCAATGAATAGAACGGATGCCATGCTGTTCCCTGTCTTCGGCTCAATAGCCCTTTTTAGCTTGTATGTCCTAAGACTGCAGGCTTAGGGTTTACTGCTAGGTTATGCCAGAGGGAGTTTAGGCCTGTGGACTATTGTTTAGGCGTCTTGGCTGAAACTACATGGCGTATGAGCAAGTTTCCGGGACCTCTGGACTTGCGGGACAACTGACACCTGCTCAGGATGTAGTGTTTTATGTTCCAGAGCTACGGACGGCTGGCTGTTCCTGTCTCTCCAGGTACCTCGCGTACAAGTTCTTGGGCACCGTCTGGGTGAACATGCTGCTTACACTTTACCTGACGGGTGTGGGCCTGCTGGCATTGGGGGAGACAACCTTTGCAGTGGCTGTAAGTAGCATGGACACAATGTGGATTCGGAGTTCCTGCTACATGCATACTTTCTTTCTTTGTCTTTGCTGCATGCATGACCCTTGGCCTTTACCGCGAATTGTCCGATCATCCTGTTCCTTGCGTTCCTCTCACATGAGTGTGTATTCGCCTCATCTGACTTCTGGCTTGTCTCTCGTTCGGTCTCTCGTGTACTGCCTGCTGTCTTCTCGTCTCTATTAGCTGTGCGCATGAAGGGTTTTCTGTTTACTTCTTGTTGATTGCCTTACGCCTGTCTGCGTGTGCGGCTTTCATTATTCTGCCTTGGGCGCATCCTCGCGTACCCTGTGGTTGTTTCGGAATCTGGTTTTTCGCTGTCCATTTTGGTTTCCTCTCTTTTCGTGCTAATTAGGGTTTACGGTCTAGGGGTATTTTGAGGCCTACAATTTAGGGTTTTCGGTTTAGGGTATGGGGTTTTGCCTGTAATACAGAAGCCGCTGTGTCCGCCACATCTGGTGGATGATCGTTGGTTGGTCCTCCACCCCAGGGGGCCTTTCCTTTGGCTCCGTAAGTGGATTAGCCTCCCCATGGCGAAGAACGCAATACCGCTCGAGCAAGACCAGCAGGAGGAGGAGCAGCAGCAAGAGCAGGAGCAGCCCAAGTTGGTTGTGGACTGGAGTTGGCGTTTCAGCCCTCTTTGGATTATCTCTCACTTCCTGGCCCTGGCCATATGTGCCTTATGGCTCCTAACAAAGCATTGGGCTCTACACAACCTTCTAGCCATCGCCTTCTGCATCCAGGTGTCTATGCAACTTATGCGTGGCTCTCTTTTTCCTTGTCTTAAAAGCTGCCGCTGCTTCCCCTCTCCGTTTTCCTGCCCTTGTCTCTGGCTCTCCTCTCCTTGTACAGCCTGTTTTTCTCTCCTCGTTGTCCAATTGAACAGCAAATGCCCTATATGGTTTTTGCAGTGTCCGCTCCAGTAGGTGTCGCTGCAGTAGTGCAGAGCAACTGCTGCAAGAGCAGCGGAGGTGTTTCCATATATTTCTACCGGGTCAAGTCCAGCAGTCACATGTTCACTGCTGCTCTGGTGGCCACAGCTATTTTCTTTACTGATGCAGCTGCTTCTGGTGCAGGCGATAGCGCTAGTGAGCGTGGGTAGTTTTGGAGTGGCGAGCATTTTGCTCTGCGGTCTGTTTGTGTACGACGTGGTTTGGGTGTTTGGGACGGAGGTGATGGTGTCAGTGGCCAAGGTGGGCACAGAAGAGGATAAAAACTACCATTATGTGGATACTGTTGGTTCTTTGAAGCCGTAGCAAGTTGTATTGCTCATGTTCTTGCAGTTCGCCGCTCTGTGCCTGGTCCTGCCGCTTTGCATGCGGCGCTCCTGTGACTCGTTTTGTGGGCCTGTATTGGTGTCTGCGATGCAGACTTTGACCTGCATGCAACAGTGCGATAATCCGCCTTTCCTCAAGTGTTTTCTTTCTGTGCCTGCTGACTACCTTCTTTCCGTGTGGCCGTCTGCATTGTGTTCCTCTGTGCGATATGTTGCATATTGTTGGCAGCTCGCTCTCTCAGCGAGCGGCTGTTTGCCGATATTATTTGCCCCTGTCCTTCCCTATGGGTATTCGTGTGTTTCGTCTATCATGAGCGTTTTGCTTGGTGCCTTGTTTGCCCATGTCTTAATCATGCTTATCTGTACCTCCTCCTCTTCGGAAAATTATTTGTTGCAAGGTACTGTGCGTCGGTGCCCCTGCTTCATGCACTTTTTTGTTTGCCTGGCTGGCCTTTTGCTGGTCGTTTGCGCGTCTCTGTATCTGTATCTGCATCACCTCGTGCTTCGTTCCCTCCTTTCTGCGTCCGTGTGCGTTGCAGGCATTTGAGGGCCCCGCTAAGCTGGTGTTCCCTGTCCATATGTCACCTCTGCAGTACAGCATCCTTGGGCTGGGAGACGTCGTTATCCCAGGAGTCTTGATAGCCATGTGCCTCCGCTTCGACTTGTTTTTGTACCACAAGCAGCAGAATTCGGCAGCCCAGCCGCTTGCAGTAGACATCCACCAGGCAAGCCATTTGGGTTGCGCCCTGTTGCACACAAATATGCCTGTTGTTTTTGAGTGTCTCCTACATGTTCCATTGAATCTGATCATCTTTCTTTCTGTTTGTATTTTCCATTTCTCAGGTGCGGTCGCGGGTGGTTCGGTTTGTCTCAGTTCCTCTTAGTGCTTTCCTCCTTTCCCGGCTGTGCATAGGCCCCTGTTTCCTTGCGCATATATGCCTCAGGCTTTGTGCGTCTTCTGTTTTTGCTCCCTATCACATCTTTCATCGGCTATCCGTCAGCTGCTCTGATTTTGTCTTCGTTTGTGCTGGATCGTTTGTCCTTCCTTGCAGCGCTTTCCCAAGTTTTACTTCTGCGTGGTTCTTTCCTTCTATGAACTGGGCCTTTTAACGACAGGCATTGTTATGCTCTACGCTCAGCATCCACAGCCGGCGCTTCTCTATCTCGTCCCATATTGCCTCTTTAGCCTCTTTGGAGCTGCAGCGCTCAACGGAAAAATTAAGGACGTGTATGTGCAAATGCGGTGATGCTGCGGTTCCTTCTGCTGCAACCGCTGCTACTGTAGATGTTGTTTCTGTAGGTGACCCGTTTGTTTCTTGAAGTGCTACTTCTGTAGTAGTTCTTGGTGCATTTTGCCCAGTTTTTGCTGGTCGTGTCGCAGCAGCGCTTGCTGTAGCTGCTTGAGCTGGTTCCTTTTGGCTTCTCTGCGAGGGAGGGAGAACGGGCTGTCAGTAATTGTGGTCGCTGTCGCATGCGTTGTTGCCGCTGCTCTCTCCTTGCGGCTGCTGTCATCGCGTTTGTGGTGTTGCAGGCTCGCTTACAGGGAGGAAGAGGAGGGGGAAAAAAGCGTCCCCCGTTCGTCTGCCTCCGAGCAAACAGAAAAGAAGGAAAACTAGAGGCTGCCATTTAAAGTGTCCACCGACGCTGAAGAGTGCCTGAGGCGCACAACAACCCCGCGTGCACATGTTTTTTCATCAACACTCACAGCCTTGTGGATCGATGTGGCTGCCTTGCTGCAGAACCGGATCATGTAAAGCGCAACTATGCAAAGCGCAAGCATGTAAAACAGCAACGGGAACGTCGCAAACAGATGGGCACTGCCAATCCTCGCTATAGGGCTTTGTACAGTGGCTGTTAAGTGTATGCATTGCTGCCACGCTGAGCAGGATCAGGCGCATCCACTACAGGCATACGCTAGGGTACACGTGTAGTTGCACAGCCGGCATAGAATGGCTGAATGATGCGTGCGAGACAAGGAACCTGAGACTTACCTATCGTCTTTAGGAGAGGGTTCAGCAGCTGTAGCAGCTTCAGCGGATATTAATGAAAATATGGTCTCCTTACGTGCCCTTTTTTTATGCTTGTAACACGTAAGGAGACCCTAGCCACCAACACGTCTTCGCGTCTACTTCCTGATCACCACACGCCAAATCAGCGCTTGCACTGTCTTTCTTTTGGTACTGCAGTTTCGCGCAAATTTCGCTCTGTTTGACGGGGAGTACAGTGAAAAACAACCTCGCAGCTCACGCGCATTCCCCGTGATGCCGTAATGCAAGGAAGAAAGATCTGCACGAAAACGAACGAGCACATGCACAATCCGTAGAGGACAAACTTGGCGGCGAAAACCAAAGCATACGTTCCTAGCATATGAGCATGTTGTACATACTACCAGTACCATAAGGCAAGAGACAAGTATATACCGAAACTGGAGAATCGTACACGGGGAGAAAGCGTTAGTCTCCCACGTGGATAGGTTGCTTCCCTCACGCACGGCCACGAAATGTGCACCAATGCACGCAGCTGCACCTTATGTATACTTCTGCATATATATATATATATATATATATATATATATATATATATATATATATATATATATATA